ATTCTATCATTCTTTTCTTTTAGATTTAAAGAAAATTTTAATTATGGTAAAATATATGTAACAAATTTTACCACTTTAACCATTTTTAAGTGTACGGGTTAGTGGCGTTAAGTATGTTCACGTTATTGTGCCAGCATCACCACCATCCATCTCTAGAAGTCTTTTCATCTTGCAAAACTGAAACTCTAACCCATTAAATGACAATTCCCCATCCCTGCCCGCCAACCCCTGGCAACCACCATTCTACTTTCTGTCCCTATGAATTTGGCTACTCTAGATATAAGTGAATCAGACAGTATTTGTCCTCTTATGACTGGCTTATTTCACTTAGCATGATGCCTTCAAGGTACATACATATTAAGCATGTGCCAGAAATTCCTTCCTTTTTAAAGCTGAATAATATTTCCTTGTATGTATATTTTGTCTATGCATTCATTTATAGACACTTGGGTTGCCTCCATCTTTTGGCTATTGTGAATAATGCTGCTATAAACATAACATTCTTCCGTTCTTGTATCATCCATACCTTCATCCACTCCCCACCCCTCATTTGGTTATTAGTATTACTTATAGGAACTAGATTTTATTCATCTTTATATTCCCCTAATGCAGAGCCTGGCACATAGTAGGTGTTTTAAAAACATTTGGATGAATGACTCTTCCGAAATTATCATCTTTAAAATTTTAAGCAAGGTCCATAAAGAGTGGACACCTCCTTTTTTCTTAGAATTGCAGAGTAAATGTGCACATAAAATTTTGATAAAAATTCAATTTATGAAGGAAGATAAGAATTTAGTACTTTAAGCATAAATCAGCAGAACAAGAAAAGTGGCTGAAGACTCTGAAGGGAGATTTTATCTTTACACCAGTACCCATAGTGATGTAGATAAAAGCCATTTATTTCTGGAAGTATCAAAAACCTTTGAATCACCGACTTCACCTGTTAACAAACGTTGACTCACTAGTAATGGAATTTTCAAGTGATTCCGTATATCAAGAAGATAATCCGAAAGTAAAACTTGTCTTTTTGTAACAAAGTCCTTGGTAGGGTTAAGCAGCTGTGTTTAACTGTCCTTCAGGTCATAGATGGAAAACTCCACTAATGTCGTCTGAGCTTGAATGCTCACGGCCTGACTTGCCTGAATTAATGTCGCTATCAGCCAGTAGCCCCAGCACCTAGAGTGTCGCCTAAGAAGACAAAAGGTTTAATCAGCCTAACAGGAGAACTAAATCAGCACTTCTTACAAAGGAGGGAGTTAACAAGACATCTTGCCTTCTCCTCTCCACTGCAGAGTGGAGTGGGGGCGGCCCTTGCCGCGACAGGTGGGGAATGGACCAGGTGGTGGAAATGGTTCAGCATCCTCCAGTTGGGCCTGTGACAGAAAGAGCCTTCACAACGCTTGCTCACTCCAGGGAGCTGTTTGTCTCTGAGAGGCAGGTGGTTTGAGTGTCCAACTTTAAAGAAAACTCTCATGCTCTCCAGCGGATGTCCAAGTGCAAACAGTTAGAACTGAGGCCTCAGAGAAAACCTAACCACGTGGACCACGTGGATGATGGCTAGGCTTTGGAGGCCCCGAGGAGAAAACCCTGACTCTGCCACATACGGGTCATGTGACCTTGGGTGAGTCACCTGACCTCAGCTATTCTGTAAAGATCAGGTGAATTGTGATTATGGTCACTTCCTTAGCAGGTGAGCAGCTCCAGAGGAATGAGCCCTCTGTGCCTATTGCCATTCAGACCTTTGTACATGACTCCGGGTAACAATGTCACTGTTTTTCAGCAGGATTAGGGTAGAACAGTTGCCCTGAACAACTAGGATTTGCTCACCTAACTCCTATGCACCCATCCAGGCTCCACTGAAACATGCCCACTTCTCCTCACATTTTCTGACCTGCTGCCCTGGGAGGGTTAACTTTTTCCTCTTCTGACTCCTGTGGACATTTTGCAGCCCTGCACACCGCCCCCACCCCCAACACCACCACCGACTACACTGTGTGGTGGTAGTTGTTTCCGTGTCTAACTGATGCTGCTGATGTTGTCCTGTAAGCTCTTTACAGAAAAAGCTCCCATTGTCACATTTCCCTTGACTCTCCCATGCGTGCCATATCCTTTGGTCTGTTTTTATGGCACAGACATATGATCCAGGGGGATTTCACTGCTAGTAAGTAGACGACAGGCCCAAAATGTTCATGTCTCCTCCAGATGAGATTCTTCTCTCCTGCAGCTAAATCCTGCCTCAGGCTACCCCCACATACAAATCTGGTTGTAAACTCTCTTGAATTTATTGGTCCCTCAGCAGACTTCTCCTTCCTGGCAATGCTGAGCCAAAGCTCCAGGACGGAAGGCTAACAACTCCACTGAGCATTTCCTCTGAGCAGTTCTAAACTCCTGGGCACAGGTGTCACTCACCTAATATCCTGCTCTGAGACTGCTTTACCATCAGGCCAAGCAGTACCACCACAAGGCTCCTATGCTGGGAACCAGGGCCCAGCTCATTCTGTGATTCTATAACCAATGTTCCTGAGCTGCTAACTGGGGGCTGGGCTCTGCACTGTCCTGGGGAGGGTAGAGATGGTCCAGTGGGGCCTCTGCCCTCTCAGGCTCCTGGTCACAGGGGACACAGTGAAGATTGCCCAGCAGCCAGCGGTGCACAAGGCACTGTGGGGGCACCGAGCAGGGTGAGTGACTGCCACCCAGAGGCCTGTGTTTAACAGGAGGATAGTCCAGGTGGAAGGAAAAGAACTGGCAAAAGCAAGGAAGAAAGTGGAAAGCGCCCTGGCATGTGATTAGGAGATGCATTAGGAGCAGAAGATATGTGGGGGAGCAGAGGAAAGTGACACAGAGGGTTTGTTTGTCCGGCTAAGGAGCTAGGACTTTTTCTTTCCTCTCCCACCCAGGACCCCATGTGTGTGGCACACAATGTTGAACAAAACAGGTACCATTCCTGCGCATAGAAGCTTATAGGCTAGTGGAAGAAATAGACATTAATCAAGGAATCACACAAATGTAACATCTCTGCAACCAAAGTTCTTGAGCAGGATATTGACATGATCCAATTTGCTTTTTAGAAATCACTCTGGCCAGAAGAACTGGAGTAGACTGGGCAGAATGAAGCAGGAGAGGGGCGTAGAGTTAAACCTCCACACATCTGTCAGGCCTGTGCCGGGGTCGTGGGATGGAGAGTAGGAGACAAACGTGAAACATTTCACTGGTAAAATGGGAAGGACTTGGGAAGTCTGATAGGTCTCCTATGGGTGGCCATAGATAATGATAACTTAGAAAAGAAAGAAAAACAGATTTTGGGTGCAGTCCAAATGGGATAATAATTGGGGGTTTGGGCCATTTTGAGTTTGAAGTGCTAGTGGGCCATTCCAGGTGGGGATGGAGACATGGGATTAGAGCTCACGAAAGGTGTCTGAGCTGACAGTATTTATCATTCAGTGTGTGAGGGACACTGTGCTCAGGGATGAGATCACCTGGAGAGAGAATTAATTGCCCGGCTGTGCTTCCAAGGGTAAGAAGCAAAACTTCCAGACCACAGGGATGGAATTCTGGGTGGGCTTCTGTTGGTTACCACAGCTGGTCTCTCAGCTCTTCAGCACGAAAGGTGTAAATCCACGTCAAAGCAATAAATGTCAGGAAAAGCTCCGTCTTTTTCCCGAACAACTGGGAAGCTTTTTTGTCTCATAGACAGTGCACAGTCTGCATTATTTCCCTTCTTGCTTTAGCAGCCAGGAAGCTCAGAGCTAATTTTGTGACTTAATTTTAGAAACCATATAGGAGCTGCATATCCAATACTATTTTCCCAAATAAATACATTTTATATCTTTATGTATTTTCCAACTCTGATTTTTTTCTTTGTTTTAGGTGCTTATGTAGGCTGCCTCAGATCCTGTGTAGAATTCGGTGGTGTATACCTCTATAAAAATCAACATTCCCCTCCAGCCTAATTTTTTGAGGTCATCCGTGCAGACTTTGTGCAGTAAGTCTGCCCTGTTGCTGAGCTAACATTGGCTAGATTTAAACAGGAAGATCTCTTGGAATTTATAGCAGCTAGACAGTAAATTTAACACTCACGTAACTCATTAAAACAGGATAAAAGTGGAGCTTCAAACATCTCTGTGTTTGCCACCAAGTCTGTGAAGGGAGGGGTACCTTTAACTCTGCTCAAGATGTAAAAGTCTGATCTTTCAGAATGGAGAATACACCATCGAAATTAAAGACTTGTCTGTGTGGATGAGCACTCCAGATACCTTCAAAGGAGGATTGAGGTGTTGACTACAAGGATGGGATGTTTTTTAAGCTTAGGGTGTCATTCTCTTGACTCATAAAACGTAGTTTGGTGAAAGCAAACTTCCTTATCAAACAGCATCAGCATAAAATTGATGGTAAATTTTATTTTTGATCATCCATGCTTTTTCGTATAAATAATTATCTTAAAATTATAATTTGCTATTGGTTAAGATCACTGTGTAAATGGTTTTCAAACTGGGTTCCACAACTGGTGCCTCAGGGACTGCGAAGAGGCCGGGGGTCAGAGAGGGGAAGACGGCCCAGCAAGGCGAGCCCGGCCCCCACCCCCTCCCCGGCTCCCCAGAGCTGCTGGGCTGTTTTATGTAGCAGAACTCCTCCTGCGGAAGGTGCTCTCTGAAGAAAGCGTTCCACTCCCAAAAGCAAAAAGTTTGGAAATCATCACATTGGAGGGCACATGCCACTAACTCACTGTTGGGACGTGACTGTGGCTAATGTGGAAGGGACCGGGGTGGGGTTTAGAATCCTGCTTTTGCTTCCCGCTCTGCCTCCTGCCAGGTGTGTGACTTTTGGCAATGACTTTTCCCCTCTGACACAGCTTCCTCATCCACAGGCTACAAGGCTGTCAATGATAACGGCCACTGCACCAGGTACAGGAGGATTAGATAAATCAGCAGATGTGGAAGTGCTGCCTAACGGGTCGCTCTCACTCCGTTCCTCTAACTCCCCTCTCTGTCTCCATTTCCCAGGAGGAGCCGATCACCTTCTGCGAGGAAGCCTTCGTGTCCCACTATCGCTCTGGAGCCATGAGGCAGTTCCTGCAGAATGCCACACAGCTGCAGCTCTTCAAACAGGTGCCAGCTCTCCCGGGGTTGGCCTGCGTCGGGATCCCTGGCGGAGATTTCTGCGGCTGTCTCCACGCTGAGCACTGAGGCTGCGGGCATGGGTGGGGCTCTGGCCTCGGCCTGCAGCGGCTCAGAGTCTGGGGCGGGGATTGGGTGAGACGAGCGGTCAGGGATCAGACAGACCCTCTGCAAATATGCCACACGGTTTGACAAGTTATCATAAACATGCAGCCAGTTCTTTAGAAACTTGCTAGTTGAAACTCACGTTCTGAAAACTCACAGTTCTCAAGGCCCTTTCCTGTCTTGGAAAACATGGTTGTTCTTGGTCATACACTAAGGTATCCAGCTGAATGGATTTTTCTCCCGTTTCTGTGTGCACAGTTACGTTTTTGTTTTTTCTTTCTACAGTTTATTGATGGTAGATTAGACCTTCTCAATTCCGGTGAAGGTTTCAGTGATGTTTTTGAAGAGGAGATCAACATGGGCGAGTACGCTGGTGAGAAGCATTTCATTTTCCCCTCTGTGCTGTGGGCTGCTGTGTGGGATTAGTGTGTGCTTGGCAGGAGTAACAGTGGCCTCCTTTTTCCTTCATTGGGAGTTAGGGAAAAACTGATCTCAACCTTGGCCTTGAAATGTTTGAGGAATTCCTCTTCATCTTCTGATGAGATGCACATTGGCCTAGCTGAACTCTTCTGTCCTGGGGTCAGTTGCTTCCCCTGGGTGAGCAAAGTCTAGTTAACGTAGTTAATGTGATGCAGTGGGAAGCACAGCAGGTATCGCATTAGGGACCTGGATTCAAATCAGGACACCACCTCCTCCCTGGCAGTGAGTACTCGGTCGAGTCATTTCACCGCTTTCAGCTGGAGTTCTCTTGTCTTTGCGCTGAGAGTAATGGTGCCTACCTCAGAGGATTCCTGTCGAGATTCACCCAGAGTCTGTGAGGAAAGGTTTGTGCAGCCACCCAGGACAGACCTTGGCGCAGGATCACTGCTCAGTAAATGTTTCTTTAAAATGTGGAAGTCACCACAGAGTGCCCGGTCTCTGCGGGCCTTTAGGGCTGGAGGGATCATCGCCTCATTTTTCAGGAGACATCTGAGGCCCAGAGAGGTGTTAGTGACCGACCCTCCCTCCTGAGTCCCCATCTGGTCTTCTTTCCAGGTTGCAAGGCCTCAGTCTTTGGCAGCAAAGTCAAAACTAAATGCAAAATAATAAGAATCACGCTGCTGGCCCCCTCTTATTCTGAGCGTGTGTATGGACTACAGTGCTGATCCAACTAGCAGTCCATAAACTCAGAGACAGGCGTTATCTCCCCTGCAGAACCACTTTTAGAGGCCCCATCAGCCTGTGCTGCACGGAGAGCACGATTAAGCACGTCCGTGCAAGTCTGCCGACGGCAATAGTGGATCGTCACTAAGCATTTCCTGAGCAGCTGCTGTGCGCAGAGCCCTGCAGAGTAGAAATGGGGGACCTAGTTTTGCCCTCAGGGAGCTTTTACACTGGCAGGAGGAGGAGATACTTAACTAAAACACATACAAATTAAACCAGCTCAGGAGAAGGAGCAGAAACAGGTTTTTGTGCCATTAGAATAGTTCTCTATCAATTCTCACTCTGTAACCTGAGAACTGCACAAAGGAGGCAAGTTTGGGTAGTGTTCTAATAGGTGAATATGAGTTCTGAGGAGAAGACGGGCTTTTTGTGTTGCTAAACTAAGTCAGGTCATTCGGAGCTTCTAGAAGAGCCGTCACCCATAAGACCTCCTCATCCCACCAGATAAAATGACAAGTTTCCCAACAACACCTCCTTTTCTTGCCCTGTCGCGACTCAAGGGTATTGAGGGCCGAGTGTGTGTCCAGCAGAGTGCTCACGCTGGGACACTCGGCCCTGTGGTTCCTGTCCTCGGGTGGCTCACAGAGCTTCAGAGAACTTGGACTTCTGAATGGATGCTACCTATTTTAGAGGGCTGTTTAGAGGAAGGAGTAGGAGAAAGGAGAAGCTTACAGAGGAAATGACATCTGAGCTGGTCATTGAGGGTACTCAGCAGAAAGGAACAGTGGGGAACAGGAGGGAACAGTGGCCAGAGAAGGGGAACAGCATTTGTGAGGGCATGGAGGACTGCAAGGACGCATGGTCAGGGAGCCCGAGGTAGTTCCTCGTGGTTGGAGCATAAGGTAGTACAGAATGGTCACACAGGATGGAGAGGCAGCGGGTGAGGGGGTGCCAAGACAAGACTGGAGAAGAGAGGCAGGCTTGCTAAGAGCTCGGACCTCTTCCTTTGGACAATGGGGAGGATTTTGGTTTGTGCTCAGGGCACTGATAGGATCAGGTCTCTGTGTGAAGAAGAGAGCCTGTGGCGGCAGCTCATTCCTGCCTCCTTCAGAGAATGGGGCATGGGAGTCTCCACGTGGTTCTCCAGATTTTGAACTTTCCAAGCCCTCCATGCTGAGAGCAATTTGAGGAACTCCTGAGGGCACATAGCTTCTTTCGATAACAGCTTCTCTGACTCCTCTTTCCCCAGGCAGCGATAAACTGTACCATCAGTGGCTCTCCACAGTCCGGGTAAGTGTGTACCACCACAGAGCCACCTGGGCCCCTCCTTAGCCTCCTGGCAGCCCTCTGCTTCTAAGGCCACCCACAAGGCTGTCATTCAGCCTGGGGCACTCCATTCTCTCAGCTGAAGATGGTCTTGTTTGTAAAGCCAGGCTGTTCTAGTGCCAGGTGGAGCCTAGCAGGATGAGACTGTCCAAAGCCATCCCTCGGTGAGGGTGAGGAGAGCCAGGAGAAGCTTCTGGTCTCAGGGAGCTGGCCAACGCATGTTGAATAGGTGTGGTCATCTTAGAGCATCTCTGGGGGGGCGGGGGGGGGGTCTCTTTCTCGGACCAGTGCAACTGGGAAGTTTTCATGGAAAAACCAAAAATGTGACCGTCTTGCTGCTCTGCAATATTTTTCACAGCGAAGGCTCCTGAAAAAATGGGGGACACATCACTGAGAGAATTTTTCATCCCCTCACTGTTGTTGTGAACAATTTCTTATTGTATTGGAAGCCAGGTGCTTAGGACTTCAGAAGCCACTAGAGAATTCAAATTCTTGCCTTTCCTTTACATGGGTTTATCAGTGAGTATGTGCTGAAGGCCTACTGTGTGCCCGGTGCCACACTGGGTCCTGGGAATACAGTGGGGAGCAGGACACAGGCCATGCCCTAAGGAAGCTCCCCATCTCATTAGGGGGCTAGAACACAGACAGGCAACTCCAGCATAATGTGATGTGTTCTCTCCTGCTTGTGGGCCAAGTGCTCTGCTGCCAAGGCAGGTCGGTTGGAAGTGGCTGCAGTTGGCCAGGAGTAAGCAATTCCTCAGTGAAAGACTTCTTTTGTTCTTCTTGAAGGGCCAAACACAGCACTTGGCAAATCATAGTCAAGCAATAAGGACTTGTTGATTGATTGATAAAGGGAGTTTTAATACTCCAAAGGACCATTGAAATGGGATACTGAATAATTTTGGAAAGCACTATGGAATAAATGAGTGGGTGAAAATTTCATATTGTCCTACAACATAGAATGCTTTCTAGGTCAAATTGTAATGTTTTTAACTAATGCTCAAAATTTCTAATACAGGCAGTTACCAAAAATTGTGCTAAAAGTTAATCCCAATAATTACATTAGTGTATCTTATTCTTTTATATACCCACTTGATCCAGTCTCTCAGTTTGAATAAGTTGGAATTATCTTTCGAAACCCGCACAAATCTGATTATGTGATCCATTTGATTAAAAATCCTCTGGAGTGTAGACTCCTTACCCTCGCCCTTCATGAGCTGACCCGTCTGGCCTCTCCGCCTCGCTTGCCATTCCTCCCCTGATACACTGACCACTTGGTACTCATGGAACACACCCTGGCTTTTCAACTTCCGCACTTTCCCATGTGCTGTTTCCTATCCCTAGAATGTTCTTATCCTTCCTATCCCCTACATGAACTCCTACTCATCCTTTATGGACCAGGCCAAACGGTTTGTCCTCTAATGCCTTCTCTGACCTTTGAGACAGTGAGCTGCCCCGACACTCCTTGTGCACACGACCAGTACAGCTCTCATCACCTCAGGTTGTCAGTGTTTACCCTGTGCCCCTCCAGACTGGAGGTCTGTGAAGGCAGAGAGCAGCCCTCCTGTGGCTCAGTACCCTCAGAGCCTGACACATGATGTCCCCACAATGAGCTCTCACAAAATGTCTGGAGCCTGTGTGCACCATATCCATTCATTGCTTCCTTTGTGTACTGGGAAAGCCTTCCCTCCCCCTCTTACTCCTCTGCTCTCCTAAAGAAGCTGAGCCGAGAAATGATTAACATTTATGGCTATTCTTTCCTTTTCTTAAGATATAGGTGTAAGGAAGGCAGCCTACTTTCCTTGTGATTTAAAGCGGCAACACAGAAAACCAGGATGAGGAGAGGAAGGTGCATGGCTGAGGGTAGCATGTCTCCAGAGTAGCCAGATAATCCTGACTAATCAGGCCCCCAATTTTCTGCGCCGGTTTAGCATTAGCTGTAGAGTTCCTTGTCTTAAACTTACCTTGACATTGTCCGTGGTAGCTAGAATTTCTTGAGAAGCTGTAGATTACTCTGGGGAAACCCTTGCCTCAGAGCGCCTGTGATGAGCTTTCCTTCCAGCCAGCGGACTGGTGCCAAGCAAAATACTGAGCCTAGAGTCCACCCTCAGCTGGTTATCTCCATCCTCATCCCGACCTCCTCCTCAATGCCCACCCCTGGTGAATCTGCCATGGGCTTAACTAATGGCCCGGGACCAGTTACTATCTAGGCCTGTTTCTCTAATTAAATTACATACTCTTGAAATGTTGCTCAACTTGATTCAAGAGAAGAGGTCTTTGTTGGTGTTGGCCTACAGTATCTTCAGTCCAAATTGCTAATTGACATTTTTATTACAGAAAGGAAGTGGAGCAATTCTGAATACTGTAAAAACGAAAGCAAACCCAGCCATGAAGACTGTCTATAAGTTTGTAAGTACGGGTCTTGGTCTCAGGTCTCAGATCTGTTCCTTAGCATAACAGAACTCTTAAATATACCTGATCCAATACAGCAGAGAGGATTCAGGGGCCGCTGTGCTATTTCCTAAAGCTCTCAATGCTCTTAGAATTATTTAGCAGTGATATTTTATGACCAGGTCACTGACATTTTTAATTTAAAGTGTTTCTGCTCACGGTTGCTGTGATAGAGAAGTGGGAGGCTACTGGTTTGGGCTTTTAAAACGTAGGCTGGGTGGCTAAAATTCTGGCTGCTGCATGCCAGTGTCCTTGGGACCCGAGGCCTGGCCCACCTGGTGTTCTGGCAAACCTTTCCTATGGGTATCCCCATTATTATGTCAAAAGAAGGCAGCTCCTTTGCAGGTTACTGAAGAGTGTTCATGGTGGAAACACATCCCCTAATTTTTGTCCCAAATCCTTCATCATCTCTCTGATGACTGCCCTATAGGAAATGCATTGTTTGTGAAACTCCTGCCCACAGCAGAGTGAACATGGGAGAACACGTCGGTTCCCGATGCTCCATCTTTTACAAGCCTCAAGTATTTTCTTCTCATGGTTTCTCTTGCCTGCTAATTTGACTCTGAGCCACTTAACTGGGGTGGTTTTGTTTTATTTCCATTTTTAATTTTGTTAGTCCTTTCTGTGCTTAAGCTGTAGTTATTTTAATGGGGTGGGTGGCTGCCAACAGAACCACACAGGTCTAAAATGACAGAAAATAAAAGCCAGCGTGTCTGCTGAAATGAGACTTAAGAAACGGAACTAGAGAAACCAAGCAATGTGTCTGTTCAGGCCATTCAGCCTGGGCAGAAAATTGGTCCTGAGGCCCTGCCCTAGTGAAATGTAATAGATATTCTGAATCTTGCAGACAGAAAAGCTGCTGCTCTACTCTTACTGGTAGCTGTCGCCAGGCTGCTGAGATAAATAATTACAGAGAGCAGAAGAAGGGCTTCGGAAGGGGAAAAAAAATTCAGTGCCATCAAAATGCAGAAAATAAAATCTCTGTAGCCTCTTTAAGGGATTTTTTTTAACCTTTTAACATTGTATTTGTTTTCATAGCCATTATGTTTTTGACTTGATGATCCCATTTTTCCTTCCTTTTTCCAGTAATCAGAGAAGGTGATCCGCGACGGACTGAAATCAAGCATAGTCCCTGCTGGAAACAGAAAGGGAATCTTAACTTAAATTAATTTTTCATGCAGGCAAAAGATCATGCAAAAATGGGAATAAAAGAGGTGAAAAACCGCTTGAAGCAAAAGGTACTTGAAGTTCTTATTCAAAATGTCTAAGCACCGTGTCTGAAATGCGTGGCCACAAAAAAGTATGATGTGATCAATAGAGGGCTGTTTGATACAGTGTTGTTAGCACACTTCAGAATGCAGTACCAGCTGTCCGGGAGCTTTCACACTGTTATAAATATTCACAGACAAAAAACTGTCTTCAAATAACATTAAGACTCTGGCTTAAACCCACAAAGGCAAGCAAGTTCAGAGTTACCGCTGTTGGTCTGTCCCTCGCCCACCCCACAGGGCCTGGGGTTCACAGGGTTCTGTAGAAATTGGCTCAGCCTCCCCATCCCAGCACAGCTCCCCCCTCCAGCTGACCTCTGCCCTGGGGCTGGTTGTGACCAAAAGCAAGAAGCATCTCCAGGGAAATGACTGCCGTGGTTCTGCATGCACATGGCCACCATGCAGACACAGGGCACAAAAGGTGGGTTTGAGGAGGATGCTGTGGGCTCTCCTCACAGTGGTGGAGTAACCAAGAGGAGCCTGGCAGTTTATGTTTGAGACCTTTAGGGGGCAGGGAGAGGCTCTGCTTGTCTTTTTGGACCGTCAGTAAAATTGTATGAAATCATACAGACTACATCCTTGCTAAGAGTCCCCCTACCTGATTCTCCAGACTTCTACAGGGAGGCTAATATAATAGAGAGAGCATTTTTATGTTGTTATGAATGTCGTCATCATTATTGTTGCCGCCCTTCATTCAGCACTTACTAAGGATGGTCCAAGCTAGGAGCTCTCACATTTAATCCTTAGAACAACCCTGGGGGTATTATTCCCATTTCGTGTGTAAGGAGACTGTGGTTCAGAGGTGAAGTTTGCCCAAGGTCACACTGTCAGAGCCTGGCAAAGCCAGGATTCCATTCCAAGGTCACACTGTCAGAGCCTGGCAAAGCCAGGATTCCATTCCAAGGTCACACTGTCAGAGCCTGGCAAAGCCAGGATTCCATTCCAAGGTCACACTGTCAGAGCCTGGCAAAGCCAGGATTCCATTCCAAGGTCACACTGTCAGAGCCTGGCAAAGCCAGGATTCGATTCCAGGTCCACCTACTTGCAGCATCTGTGTTCTTACCGCTACAATATTTCATACTACTGTCCTGAAACAAGTGTTTTGTTTTCCAAAAGATGTTTGGGATCACTTGCTTCATTATCCCTACGCCCCTCAAATGTACCACTCTAATAAGGGCCTTTGTCTAGCTCAACAGTTTTTTAAAAATTGAAAGCAGTTTTAATTTTATGAAGTCAGAAAGGACCTCTCATTAACTTGAAATGGTCAAAGGAATTGATTCCTTCCTTTTAATTGCAAAATAATTTGCTCTGACTAAGCATTTAAATTCTTAGTTTCAGCTGAGAGTGAATTTTTAACAGCTGAGATTCAAGTCCCGAAATAAAAGTCCTGTAGTGTAAATTCAGATAGACTTAACTGCGGTCTGTTGCACCCTGCCAGAGACTGGCAGCTGGAATTCTTTACTTGGCTGTTATTTAAGTCCCTAAATATACCTTTTTATCTTCTATCCCAGTCGCATGTAACTGAGTTGGATTGCAGGTATAAAATGGAGTGGCAGGGAGGGGGGAATTCTCTCACCAAATTTTCCCTCCTTGATGACTGGCTCCCGGGCTCTGGCTGGCATTAGAATATTACTTAAAGCAAAGAACAGGGTCCCTCCTCATGCAGAGGACAGATGTGCTTCACCGGTCACATCTGCTCTCTGCAGACCATTGCCTCCCTCCTCATACACGTAAGCACTGGGCCTCAAGAAAATCCCCTTTTTATGATATGTAACATTTCTGCAAATAACCAGTTACACTCAGGTTTTTTGATGTTGTTCAAAGGTTCGCTTAAACAATCTAGATCTCTCTCCCTCCACGCCATCTCCCTTTTCTTCCCTTGATAGTGTCTAAAGCCGATCTTCCCCTCCCCTTCTCCTCCTCCCCGGCCAGTCTTTTCAAGAATAGCTTCAGCAAATAATGTTCTATAGAGAGTGTCAGTACATTTCAGGTGACGCAAATGGTGAAGGCATTTTATAGAAATGTGGCTTGTCACCATCGGACTGTTGACAGATCTATTAGTATACCCTTTTCAATTTTCACTTTTCCCCCCTTCGATCTTACAGATTTCTACAGACTTGATATTTTGCAGTTGTTCTTGGAAGAGCTATTTTGTAATTGAAACTCCAGCGTTGTTCAGTCCAGACAGGACTTGGTCTTCTTCAGTGCTCTCCAGCTCCCTTTCTCGAGCTATTCAGGATTTGGCTTCGTCTGACCTCTCTCACTGCAGTAGAAAATGTTTCCTTGGCTTTTTTCTCCCTGCTCCCCACCCCAACCCCCACCCCTTTATATGGCAGCATATCTACGTGGCTCTCCAGATGAGTCTAATGCAGACATCTCAGATTTGGTTTCTGCTATGAAATTGAGGCAGTTCCCCACAAAGATCTAATCTTCAAATGTACTGGGTTGCCACCTGGCCTCCTCTAACTCTGCATAGCAATAGTGACCTTGCAGATATAATCAAGAACCCAATCTCGCCCTCTTCACTCTCACCTTGGGTTTGAATTGCAAATAGAAAATGTGGGGCCGACCTCTGGAGAGGTCACCGTGGTGTGTTGGAGGGTCCATCTCTAATATGACTGAGCAGAGCCCCTTCTCCATCCCTTGTTCATTTGTGCTGCAGATTTTCAAAGCATCTGGAATAGGAGCTTTCAGAGTATCCGTGTGACCATTGGCAAGTAATTGTTAATAGATACTATAGTGTGGCTTTATTCCATACCTGCTCTGCTTCAGCCCAACAACAAAAAAAGAAGGATGATAACATATTTCTCTGGATAAATGGGAGCAAGGTGGTCAAGTTCTTCTATAGCTTGGCTTCTTTTGAAGTCTGACTTGCTCAAAATTAGGAAGAGGAAATGGCAAAGATGCTACCCAGCCATCACTTTCTAAAGGGAGAATGTGGTGCTTTCCTCTGGAGTATCTCCCTCCAGACCCTGCCTGCAGAAGAACGCCGTGTGGCGGGGCTTGTGCCTGTCACCAAACAGCAGCATTCTCTTGCAGCACCACACAAGCCTGGCATCAGAATGCCAGGTTTTAAAAGCGATGGCGGCACACATGTTCCTTCTCACCTGCAAGGAACATTAAGATATTCACATAAGGATGTCATTTTTTTGCCTATTGGGGAACCCCTGAAAAATTATCTGTTTTAATCAGTATCAAAATGATTTAATCCAGTGGGCTCATTTCACAGCCCTTTTAAAATCTTTATCTTAAAAGATAAATTGAGCTTGTTCATTTATAGTCTCTGTGATTGAAAGGAGAAATTCACAGCTGGCTTAGCAAAGACTGGAGTTCCTGGCCAAATATTTCCTAGTGTATTAAAGGAGGTGAGTAAGCGTGTGTGGGGCAGGAAAATCTAGGTAGACTCTTGTAGAACAGACATTTTCACACCTTAGCACACAACTGTCAGCTCCCTGTCTCCAGATAGGTTAAAGTATGCTGCAGCCTCAATCACAGAAATTCCAACTTTGGATGCTATTTTGATGTCAATATTCATATTCTAATTTGCATTTGCTGTGGTGTGAAGTAGACCAAAAAAGAAGGGCACTGCACAGATCTGAGAATGGAGACCAGCAGTCTGAGTCAGAGAGGGTAAGGCCTCTGCCTCTTACCCACGGGGCCTTTCGGCCCCCAGCACTGTGGCATGGGATTTGGGCCTCTGAGGCAGACGAGTTGGGTTCACTGCTGGTTGTGTAGGATATTAACTGTGTGACCTTGAGTAAGTTACTAGATCTCTCTGAACCTAGTTTTTCTCATTTGTAAATGAGGGGAAATATCAATTTTTAGTGGGTTACTGTAAGGATTAGAAGAGGTAATGAGTTTAAACAGCAACGCTTAGTAGCTACTCAGTAAATGCAAGTTCCCATCCTGTCCTTTTCTCATATCTCACCTCTGGAGCAGCTGGTACCCAAATACCCACGTGCACGTACCCCAAGGACATGGCTGACATGGGATTAGCTCCCTTCTGGTCATCCATACAGCCACCAGAGCAATCTTTCTAGAATACAGCTCTGAGCAAGTCACTCTCTTGGTTGAAATCTTTCAGACCTTTCAAACTTTCCACCTCCTTGACAGGGGGATTCTTGGAATGCCCCAGTGGCTGGACCACCTGCTGTTCCTTAACCAGGCTCCCTGCTCTCCCTCCCCTGGGCCAGGAATGCCCCTCTCGCATCTCTGCCTCAGGAAGTCTTATCCTCAGTTCCTTTCCTGTCCAACCCCCATCCCAGCTCCTACCTAAGGTCACTCAGGGCCCTCCTCCTCCTCTGGGTTCCTACCGCCTGACTTCACGGGTGCTCTGTCCAAGGACTTAGCGCATGCTGCCCCTGCCTTCTCCACAGACAGCTAGAGATTAGATCTCAGTCATGATTTTTGATTCCAGCTGACGCTTAGGGAAGATGGTAGGAATTGAATTACTTTCGGACTCCTTTGCTTTACTGAGGGGTGGGAACTGGTAGGGCCCCAGTGCTCTGAGCAGAGCTGTAGGGCTCCTGGGAAGAGATTTGCCACCCTGCAGCAGCCTCTGATCTGCAGATCTGTCTCCTGTCTTCCTCCTGTGTGACCCTTCGGGAAGGAACAGATCTACGCCCCCTGTCAGCTTCTTGTTTTTTTTTTCTTTAATTATTTTTTTTTTCCTTTTTCTCCCCAAAGCCCCCCGGTACATAGTTGTATATTCTTCGTTGTGGGTCCTTCTAGTTGTGGCATGTGGGACGCTGCCTCAGCATGGTTTGATGAGCAGTGCCATGTCTGCGCCGAGGATTCGAACCAACGAAACATTGGGCCGCCTGCAGCGGAGCACGCGAACTTAACCACTCGGCCACAGGGCCAGCCCCTTGGTTTTGTTTTTTAAAATGACATCTCAACAGTCAGTTTCTTCTGTTTACAAACAAAAAACCATGTTTATTGGAGAAAATTCAACAAATCAGATAAGCAAAAGGAAAATGATCTTATTTTATAACCTGCATTTTCACTTATCATATTCTGAGCATTTCCCAGACACTAAATGTTTCTTCCACATGTCACCATTTTAAATGGCTGCATAAGGGGCTGGCCCGGTTGTGTAGTGGTTAAGTTCACGCACTCCGCTTCAGTGGCCCGGGGTTCACAGGTTCAGATCCCGGGCACGGACCTGGCACTGCTTATCAAGCCACACTGTGGTGGCATCCCATGTAAAATAGAGGAAGATTGGCACAAATGTTAGCTCAGGGCAAATATTCCTCACCAAAGGAAAATAAATAAATAAAAAATCAACGGCTACATAAAATTTTATCTGGTGGACATATATACATTAATCAATCCCATTGTTGGACACTTAAGTCAGTTCCAATTTTTTCTAGGCAAATATCCTTATAGGTAAAACCTTGAAGGAATTCTTCATTATTTCATTAGGATAAATTTCTAGAAATGAAATTGATGGGCCAAAGGGCGTGCACCTCTCTTAGGGTTTTGAGATAAATTGCCAATTTGTAGTCCCACCAGAAGGGTATGAGAGTGCCTGTTTTCCCAGACCCTTTGCTGACAGCTTCTCGATTAGTCCTTAGAGCACAATGTCTTTAATCACAGGTACCAAAAGTTGCTGAGATGGATCCTGCTGTGCGTAAGATCTCTGCTGGCAGACTCTCTAGAGCAGGTGAACTGGCCCTGTTTCCCTCTTGGCTGGGGCTCTTCCCACCCTGCTCTCGCTGGGATCCCGGGAAGGAGGCGTTGTCCTTCCCCGTGTGGAAGAAATAGTGAAGAAGTTAATACATCGGTAGGGCAAGCCCCGGGACTTTGTGAGAAGGCGTTTGCACCTTCGGATCTTCTCACTAAAGAAAATTGATGTGCAGCCCTGCTTTCTGATGCACAAGCACCTTTGTATTTTGGCAACATTTGCCTTCCAAATATTCATCTCAACTTAACAAGGATTTATTGGAGAACATGTGCTATATTCAAGGCTCTGGGGCAGAGAACCCAAGCCCCAAGGAATTCACAGTCTATAGGGATAAGAAAAGTAAGATATCAAAGCAGCACGAGATCAGTATAGCAAGAGGGGTTTCCGAGTAGGGATGGCATCTGATGCTTTGTGGAGCACCTCCTAACTCAGAATGCCTTCACTGGTGCTGTTGTTATGGGTCCATATCGTATAAGTGCCAGAGAGCATTTCTGGGTTCCTCCACTTGCCAGCTGTGTGGCTTTGAGTGAGCCGCCCACTCTGAGCCCCTTCCTTACCTATAAAAGAGCCATTGATCCTGTTTCACTTGTGATTGTTGTGATACTAAGTGTGATAGTGAAGGTTGAGGTTCTGGAAAAATGCCTGCCAGCAAGAGGTGCTCACACGAGGCAGCTTTTCTGTTTAGATGGTGCTCTTCCCATTTTGCAGGAATGAGGATGTAACATCCAGTTTGCACAGGACTAACATTTGTCACAGTTTCCTCCATCTCATCTCATTGAACCCATTCTCCCTGGGGCTTGGAAGTTCGCCAAGCAGGTGGTGGTCTCCCCACTGTAAAAATAAAGAACTGGCTGCAGAGAGGTTCAGAGCACTGGAAAGATCAGCCAGCTAGTTAATGGTAGAAACAAAACTAGAAGGCAGCATTTTTACCTATAAGCTTAAACTAGGGTGCTTTTCCCAAAACTACCACATAGTTTTTTTTAAATAGCTATCATCTTATAGTTTTCATTAATATCAATATTTTCTTACCATGTTATCTCACAGCTCCATTTTTTTTTCAGCCAACCACTCACACACATGCAATGTTTTTTCTGAACTAAAAGTGAATTTTTTTACTGTTTAACTCTCCTCAACCTCTTGTGTCTGTCCTCTCTGTAACCCCACCTGGATCCAAAATGCCTCTTTTGCCCTTTGCTACTTTCTGGCCCAGAAGGAGCCCCTCCCCCTCTTTGTTCCACTTGACCTGAGCGCCTTAGGGCAGCCCCTTTCCAAAAGAGCCATTTCTAATTGGCTGTCGGCAGCCTCTCTCATCGCTGAGCCTCGGCTGGGCTGAGGCTTGATGTAAGCCCTCCCTGCAGAACCAAGAGGTCATCATCTCCCTGTGTTGTTACCGGGCAGTACAGAGACTGCCGCGGGGTGTGTGGGGTTAAATTGAGAGAGAGACAGAGACAGAGAGAAATCCCTAGAGTTTACTGAGCACCTTATTAGTATGTACTCAATAATTATTATTGAGGACCATATATAGTTCATTATTGAGTAATAATATTCTAGACACTTTTATGTTGCTTCATCTCCTCTCCTCCTTGTAGCTACCGTATCACCATTTTACAGTTGAAGAGACTGAGGTTACATCTGTTTCTTCCTTAATGTGTTATTATTCGATTAGGGAGCACGTCCCTCCATGTGCCACCATTCTCTGTGTTTGGCTAAGAGCAAGTGTCAAGTCTTTTATGTGCAGAATTTAATGAGTACTAAGGGTATGTGTTTTGTTGACCAAAATGTGTATTTGCTTTTGCAATGAAAGGAATTGGAGATTGTATTTATTTCATTCTGGCTGTGAGTTATTTTTACTTGGTAAAAAATAAGGACTTAAATGTTTTCTATTTGCACATTTTTTCTCTGCCTTGCTCCAGAGAAGATTTAAGCAACTTTCATAACTTGAATAAAGCATATGGTCCATATCACACAAGTGGGTACCACCTGCATCCCAAAGAACCCGTAGGTATAGTCCATGGCCGGCCCCTGCCAAAGGAGCCAGGAGCTGCCTTTTGCACGTTGGGGTTTTTCTTTTCCTTATAATTTGACTTCATTTGTCAGAAGCACAAATTAAATGTGAATGTCTGAATTTAAAAATATGAGATTTTCTCTAAGTCATAGATCCTAACTCAGACTTCAGTCTCTTCATTCTCTGCCAGAAAGGCTAGGGCTAAGAAAGAAGGAGCTTGAACACATTATTTTCACAAACAGTAACATCATCAGTAAACAAATGTGGAGAAAATGTCCACACTCACAAATAATCAAAGTAATGCAAATTAAAGCAACAATGAGATCTAATTTTTCACCTCTTAAATTAGCAATACATTTTTAAAATGATAAGGCTAACAAGTACCGTGAAACTGATAATGCATCCATTGCTGGTGGTTGGTGTAAATTGGAAAGCAATTTGGTGGAATGAATAAAAAGCCTTAAAAAGGTTTATATCTTTTGACCTAGTAATTTCATTCCTAGAGATTTCCATAAAAGAAATAATCCAAAAGAAACAAAAACTGCAATGTTTATCACTGTGGTGTTTAGAAAGTAAAAAAATTAGGAGCAACCTCAATGCCCAACAGAAGTAGAATGATTTATTAAATTATCGTATATCTGCCTGATGAAATATTATGCCTCCATTAAAATTATTATTATAATGACTATGTAGCACCATGGAGATGCTTATAATATAGTAGGAAAAAATAGAGTGTAAAATTATGCATGAGCTGTGATTGCAAGTAATTTTTAAATGTCTGCATGTGGACAAAGTGAATATGTAAAAATGAAAATAGCCGTGTAAGGTAGTAGAATGAAAGACTGTTTTTCCCACTATTGTGAATTATGATGTCGTCTTTGTTATTTAATATATTTGATTTTGGTTTCTCTAGTCCTTAAAAGTCAAAGAGCCGAGTTAGCCTCCATTTCCTCCATCTTGAGCAGGACAGGCTCTCACTGTCCTGGGGGGAGTTCCATGGCAGGCCTCTTAGCCGTGGGGGGCGAAGGAGCACCTGTGCTCACGGCAGGTGCCATGACCCCGACACCAACCCCCGACCGGGCTTCTCCCTGCAGGACATCGCTGAGAATGGCTGTGCCCCCACCACGGAAGAGCAGCTGCCAAAGACGGTGCCGTCCCTACTGGTGGAGGCCAAGGACCCCAAGCTCCGAGAAGACCGGCGGCCAATCACAGTCCACTTCGGACAGGTATGTACCCTGGCCCTTTGATTGGTCTGGGTTTTGGGTTTTTTTCTTTCTTTTTTTATCAGAAGCTGTAGCCCATGCAGCAAGTGTTTCACTTCAATTCTCATTGGCAAAACCAAACAACGCCGGAGTTTTGCACATCTTCGAATGTTTATTTGTCGCACACATGTTTTGCAGTTGAATTTTCAAAAATTTTGGGGAGACAGCATGGCTCTGGTCATAAACTAGCTCATCTCTTGAATAAAGTCATTAAATGCAGCTGCTTCCTCCCCACTCCAAGGCGCTCCGTTTAAGGTGCATCCGTTAGCTAAGCGTCTCATTAGAGCACTTGAGCATCCCAGGCCCTTCTTTGCACCTTCAAATAAAAGGCAACAAGCGAAGTCTTAAAAAAAAATCAATTAGGAGTTCTTTATTAATGTACTTCCTGAAAATCAATATCGGGAGTCATGCTTCTCAGAGTAAACCCTCCCGCTCTGTATGATTCTAGACATCCGATTCTTTAACCAACTGTTTTCGGCCACCTGAACGTTTGAAACACTGTCTCTTGGTTTGATTTTTTTCCCTTAAGTCAAACACTGTACTCTGTATAGAAACAAATTTTTTTATCCATTTCCTATCAGTGGTTATATTTTCAGTTGAAAAAGATTGCATACCCTCCCCTACTTCTCTTGAATTGATTCTCTCAATTAGCAAAAGTCATAATTTTGGGGTTTATTGAGAAATGGCTCTCTTAACAACATGACTGCAACAAGAATTTGCAAGCTTATTTGTTCTTAAATTGCCTGATTCTTTAGCCATTTATTGGATAAAGCATGATTAAAATAGTCTTTATGATTTTATCTTAAATATCATTGCTATTTTATCACATAAAGGACCTAGAAGCATACATTTAAGATGTTACTGTTTTTAACAGACTTTTATCAAGAGCCTACTACGTACCAGGCACTGAGCTATTTAGAACTGAAGAGACTTAATGAAATTGTTGCTGTGGGTTATTACTGTAAGGGGTGAGTTTATTGAAACAGAAGAATCTTCCTGTGTAATCAATATTGTCAGATAATACATTCATACATCTTAAACTTGTGGAGGTTCACCCCCCTTTTCTGATTTTACACTAAAAGGGATGATATAAAAATTGAAGTGTAGCACAAGAAAGAAGCATCCATGGGGCAATGCTCATTTGGTTAATGATTATCTTCAAATTGCATTGGTGTTTGCACCCCAAAGAGCTGCCTCCTCCCCGGGTTCAGGCCCTGTTGGAGAAATGTGCGCCCCAGTTCCCTGGCTGTGTTTGCTGAAAGCACAGCCCCCGTTTGTCGCCAGCACAGCATTCCAGAGCCAGCTTCCTGCCTTCCTTTGTCCTCATTCCTGCACACAGTAACCTTCCCATGAAAAGAGCCCCTCGCTGGAGTTTGGAGCCCATTACAGAGAAAGAGGGGGCGGGGGGAGAGGGATTTCATGGTGTTAAACATTCCATTTTCGAAACACAAAAAAGAGGCCCTATTTGAAATGGAGAAAGACCTTCTTTCCATTTCAGCAAGAAGTAGAGATGCTTTAATGTCATTCCCAGCTAAATGCAGAATAAGAGTGTGTGTGTACGTGCGCATGGGGGATAAACAATTAAAAAAGCCACCCCAAACTCTGTTGAAATAAGAGCTGTCTGTGCCTTCACAGGTCTGTAAACTGGAGAGGATGAAAGTGGCTTTTTTTCCCCGTTTGTCACTTCCCTCACGTGGCTGCCAGCATTATGCAAGTGTACAGGAAGGCAGGATTTTTTTTTAATGCATGCATGCGGATTAAGGTCAAGCCCCGAGTATCAGCCATGCAGCGGGCTCTCCCTTCCAGCTGCAGCCGCAGAGCCTACCCACAGCCGCGAGATGCCTTAATTGAGACGTGCTGTCAAAGTGACAAACACATTTGCATACAGTCTACACTCTATTTATTTTCTCTGGAAAGGTCTATAGTCTGCTGTTGGTTGAACATTCTTAATCAGTTTGCTGTTAGTGAACTGCCAGCCAGCTCACTTGTGCTGGCCGCTTCTTCATTAGGTGACAGATTAGCTGCAGGGGGATGGGCCAGGGGAACCGCAGACCCCTTTCTTTTAACTCTTTCCAGCTTTGCCCCTGTGCTGGGCTGTCCTCCAGTCCTTCCCCAGGCGCCTGGTTTGTTGGGCCATTGACCGTAACGCGTAGCTTTTCTAGAGCACCTACTCCTGGTGGGCATGAGTTCTAGGGACTTTACATTCTCAAAGGACAGTCTTTTGAGTTCCACTTCAAAAAACGTTGCCACACTCTCCTACCATTTGTACTATTTTTTTACTTGATATTTTCCTTTAAACAGACTCAGGCCTGACACCTATACCAACTTTAGCCTCGTCCTAAGCAATGACATTGCTATAATCAGAGGTTTGATGTACCAGTCCAATTTTTTCCTAAGGCATATCAAAAAATCTAAGTGTCCATCCACGTGTCACCAAACCACTCTGTAGCCCCAACGGTATACATTCTCCTTTTGGAAAAGATGTGTCTTCTCTGCCATGGCCCTCTGAGAAAAGGATCATTGGCCACATTTTATGGACCCAGAACTGGAGCTCAGGGACCGGAAGGGACCTGCCCCAGGCCATATTGCCAGCGTGGAAACTCAGGACAGTCTGATTCCATCACCCACTCCGGCTCCCTCACCAAGCAGAGACTTCAGCTGCTTTGATATGTCTGTTAAAGCTAATGTGTCCTGGCAAAATCATGGACTAGCCAGATAGTGCACGTTAACCCCAAAAAGATCCTGGTATTGATTTCATTCTTTAGAACACTTAGCTTTCCAGTGAGGACAGAGACTGTTGAGATGGTTATTACATTAACTTCTCCATCTTGCAAAGCTGGTGCCCTGTTACCAGCCAGGGGAGCTCCGTGGGGACATTGGCAGAGTGGCAGGGAGCCCGCCCAGCTGTGGAGGCCTTTGCAGAGCCCTCAGACGGGCGCTTAGTCCTGAGGCCAGAGGAGCCTCTGCGAGGGGAGAGGACATGCTCTCTGGCCTCTGCCTCACGAGAGCTTCCCTTTCAAGGCTTTGACCATTCCTCCATTCAGTTGTGCATCTTGCATCCATGTATTGAGACCTACCATGTGTAAAAAAAAAAAAATAAGGCATAATGAGGGAGACAGACCAGCAAATGGACAGTCTGACCCAGAGTTATCAGAACAGTGAGAGGGGTGAGCTCAGGGTGCTCTGAGGGCCCCACAGGCCTCTTCACCCCCAGGGCCCAGGTCCCAAGTTGTACCCTGTACGTAAAAGATATTTTGTCAACAAACTAAACTCATAACAATTCATTTGTTTTCTGAAGCAGATGTGTAAGGCCACTCAGAGCTCGTGATGAGCCATGTTGACAGTTCCAGACAAGAGCAAAATCAACGGCTTTTTAGTTAGCCCCTGCATCCTTATCAAGTATGGTTTCTTTAAAGAGTTCAAAAATCTCAAGTAACTTGAGAATGCCTGGTCCTACCTTGGAAAATGTTTAGGTTTAGAGAGGCTTTAAATAACTCTTTTTTTCCTCTTCCCATGTTTAGAATCGAAAAATAAGGCTCAGGAGACAGTCAAATGAGATTAAAAAAAAAAAAAAAAAAAAAAGCCAGCTTTTTTACTGATAAAGCTGAAAGGAGAATTTTGCTTTAGACCTGAGGCCAAATGGGCTTACTAAAACTTCACCTCAGAGTTAAAGACTGAGCACCTCCCCACAGGAGAAGTGGACAGTTGCAGGCAGCACCCAGCAGTCCCTGTGGACTGGCTGCTCTGTGGGAGGGAACCAGAAGGGCACACGGAGCGTGGAGCATGCTCAGTTCCTTCTCTCAAATTCCGAGAGAAGGACGACTCCTCTGGGCGGAAGTGAGTGAGAGGGCGCAGAGAGAAGCTAAGGATTCCCCCATGCTTTTCTCTCCTGGGGTGAGGAACAGACGTTCCCTCCTTTCTGTGGCTGTGAAGCAGGTAAGGAAGCAGTGTTCTCCCCAGCAGGGCCTGGGCACCCCTCAGCCAGAACACCTTGCCTTGACTACCTCCCCTTCTGAGAAATCAGCAGAGGTAGTGTCCCCATGGAAACTGCTCTGCTCCCTGCATTTAATCAGATGGACAGGCCACTAGGGGCTTTCACATCTCTGCTCATTTCACTGAATCTTCACCATCAGCTGGTAAGGAAGAAGCACCATACCTATTGTACAAACAAGGAAACAGACTTGGAAGACATTTGCTTGAATCAGTAGCTAATTCATACTCCGCAGCTCTCCCTCCCTGGCTGAGGGAACTGGACTGGCTGTGGGAGCCCAGTGGCGCTGGATACTAGTCCTGGATGCATGTTGCCAATGTCGTGGGCCTTGGCCAGGGGTTGGGCCTTCTCAGGGTGGGAGGATGGGGCACCCCTGAGAACGTCATGACAAACCCACTCCAGGGACCCTTGCATTGTGTTTCTCCCAGTTGATTGATCCTGCAAACAAAATAATTGGCTACCTTCCAATCTGATAGATTCCAAAAAGTGTGCATTGAAAAGTGCTTGTATTCTCTCAGTTGAGCAAAGGTTTCTACAGATCTTTAACATAAAAGTTTGAAAAGCCAGTTAAACCAAAGCCCAAACTAAACACCATGTGGCTTCCAGAGACCTGGGACAGAGTGGTTTGGTTACATCCCCAGAGCAGCTCTTGGAATGTAGTTGCCTGCTTGTCTGTGTGTATGGAGAGTTGTGGCTTTACAAGCATGAGCTGGGTCATTTGATGACAGTCTCGCACTGGGCTGGAAAAGCTGCCCAGCCAGTGAATACCTTCTCAGCACCTTTGGCTCTGAGTGCCCTGAGAAACCCCTTCTGCCCTGTTGAGCTTGGAAGTCACAGACGATTCTCTCCAATTCAGCCACTCCCTCCCAAACACCTCCAGCAGATGTTCCCTTGTTCCCCAGACACCTCCAGCCACAGGCCTGCGGTCTGAACGTACGCTCCTTGCCAAACTCACTCCTCCTCTTCTGTCTCC